TTTTCGCTTTCTTTTTCTCTTATTCTTATTTTACTTTCAATTTTTCACCTATATTTTATTTTTTTCTACGCTTCCGTCGGAACATTCCGTGCTTTTTAACTCGGCACAATGAATCTTTGTTGATATGTATATGTATATGTATACATGCATACAGACATACATACATACATATATATATATATATATATATATATATATATATATATATATATATATATATATATATATATATATATATATATGCACATAGATAAAGATCGTAATTGGTGATTACCTATCTTTCTCATGATAACCCTTAATGTAAGTCCAGCTGACCTTTCATCTACTAGTGGTCATTCCGACTTATACTAAGTTATAGCGTAGTATGGTCATTTTTGGTTGTAGAATTTTGGACCCATGCGTCACTAGTGGAAACAATATAAGAACTAAAATTCAAACCAAAAATTCCAGTATGGTTCTTACAGTAGATAAACAGGGAGCCCGTCCCTCAGGAAGGAACCTACATGAGGTCGAAAAATCTGGCATATAAAAAAAATCCTACACAAAAAATGAATCTTCATGTCCCCACAACCGGGATAATCCCAATAATAATCCCAACTAGACTTACACCCATTCATTTAAGAAAAGGAAATTTAAAATGATCTCGTGATAAGTACAAACTCTTTTTGATTGAATTCTATGAAGCGTTGCACACATGATATAAATGCATCACTAGTCAAACATATGGAATTTGGCGGGAAATGTTTGGGCAAGCAATTAGAAAGTACATTGACGAAAATAAATTAGCCAATGTAAGAAGGTACATCATAAGAAATAACCGATTGAGATTCTGAAATTAAAGAAATAAAAAGAAATGCAAGCAGAATAGGTGAATCTGCAGAACATGAAAGGGAACCAGAAACGGACATAAAATGTACTAACATCACACAAACTACAGATTATAATGAAGAAACTGAGATACAAACCAATCACTTTGAAGAGAATGCTGAAAATTTAAAAGAGTTGGAAAGGCGTGATCTTAGTCGCTCACAAGCCTGAAATAAAACGAGTCCAATAGACAGTGAATCGAATTATTTTACGGAAAACATGAATAGTATACAAGAAGCCAAGGATGAAATCATGAGACATGAGTCAGACAGAAAATTTTGAAATGGAAGAACGACAACCACTCTGAAAATTAAAACCAACAAAGTAGAACCTCAAAACTATTGAACTATATAATACAGCACTCAGATTAATTCTGGGTGAAGTGGACCCACATATGTGTCAACGAAGCAATATATGTATCAGCAATACAGCATCTAAAAATTTAATGATCAAAGTAAAAAAAAACAGTCTCACAGTCATAAAGAACCACCATTTAAAAAGTAAAATAGAGAACGAAGTTGAACAACTTAGAAGTGAATTATCAGTACTCAACTGGTAAGGGTAACAAATAAAAGGACTAGAAAAGGAAGAAAAAGAAAAATAAAATACAAAATTAAGAATAAAAATGATGTCCTATCAGCTAAAGAAAAAATAAAGCAAACAACACAACTGAAGACACAAAGAATCAAACGCTATGAAAAAATCAAAATTCTACAGACAGAAAAAGAGCTTCCAAACCGATGCAAAGAAATTTTACAGAGATAAAGGCAAACAAAAAATTGAAGTGACCCCCACCCCCAAATGGAAGCGGTTATACAGTTCTGAGAAAAATATGGGCTCGCACTAAAGATCACATGAAAAAGAGATTGGATTAACCAAAAGGTAGAAGAGATAAAAAATAAACCAGAACAACGCATGGGCTAGAATCACAGAAGGGGATAATGAATATGCACTGAAAAAGCACACAACTGGAAATCACTAACTTTTGGCTATATTATCTAAATTAACCAGTAATAAGGAGTGCTAGAGAAAAGCGATAATAACAACAAAAATTGCAATATGAGCTCTGGTGAAAAAAAAATGCTAGGATAACAGCAAAAATTGCAATATGACGAAAAATGGTAAAAAATGGTTGCTGGAGACATTAGGTTTATAATACCCAGAAATTCATACACAGATGTCGTCAAGGGCACATGGAACAGTGGATAAAGGCGTTTGTTAAATCCAGTGAGTCTGAGTTCAATACCCGGTTAAAGCAGCGATGAACTTGAACATGGGAATTAACAGGAGATAACTGATAAGAGGCACGTGGAACTAGAACAGTCTAGCTCAGTGAGCGAAATAAAAGGTTCAGTTCAACATTCCAAAGCAGGTTAGTAGAAGTCCGGAGCGTACAACGGCCGAAACGTTGTAATGAATATGGCGACAAAGATGAGGATAATAAAGTCCGAATAATGTAAATAGAGTAACCAAGAAATTTGAAAAAATATAGATGTATAATGAAATCAAAACAGAAAAAAATATAGAAATTGAAAACAAGAATTGTACTAGTCATAGTAGATGAGCTTGATAAAAAGAACACGACAAAACATTGAAAAAATCCCTGGAAATCCCTGGGTTAAGAGTAATGCAAAAAACGTCTTAATAAGTCTAGCCCACACATTAAGAAGAATGTTATCCATGTAACGCTAGTGATGATATGGGAGTTATAAGAAATAAATCATGAAATGTAGCCATAACAACACAATACAACCTGTCTTAGGTCTTCCTACTTGGTAGGTAATGTTACCATAGCAGAAATCGAAATATAATGATGATAATGTTGATGATGACAATAATAATAATAATAATAATTGTTGTGGATTCCGGGTTGAAATCCGGTACCAATAAATAACAAACGCCAGGAATGAATATATGAAATATAATGTATTAACGTAATAATACAAACTGGTAAAGCAGGTTAGTAGTTCCAGGAATACGGGTTAGTAGCAAAATATATATATACAGTCTTTCGTATTGAAGTATCACTGTATGACTTCTTACTGATTCTACGAGCTCGCTCACTGTGACTCCTACAACGCTGTTACCTCACTCTCACTTTTCCGGTTATTTACAACCTTTTACTCGGTCACTCTGGACTCGACTCGACTCTTCGGTCTTGCTCTCTCAGGTCTTTACGTAGCCGTAGTATATGTATATACTGGGTGAGTCCATTTGTATAAAAAGGGGTGGATCCCTCAACAATAATAATAATAGTAGTAGTATTTTTATAGAGATTTTTTGTGGGAAGGAGAAAGTAGGAATTGAATCCATGGAACGAGAGACCTAGAAAAATGTTTACGCTCGAGCTTCTTACACCAGAGACGATGTTGACAGATTGCTAAGAGAAAGGAAATGAGAAAACGTATCGAACGTTCTGTTTATTACATTGTAATGGGCTTTGCAAAATACACTCCACAGAGACGCGTCGGGTCCTGATAGCCACAAAGTAAGACAAGTAGAAAAGATATAAGAAATGGTAGAGAATGTAACTAGCTAGGGAAATAATAGAGAAAGCAAACAACTCCAAGATAAACTTTGGCGACAAATAGAGAACATCGAAGACGAAAGAAATCACGAAAATAAGAAAATTCACTGGAGACGCGAAAATGGCCGAGAAAAAATTATGACAAGGGAGACATAACAAAACAAAGAAACAGTAAATGCTGTTTCAGTGGAAAAAATAAAAAAAAATAATGTAATTTACCTCATGGGATGTTCGCCTTTCGAGGTAGTCATCTGTATTATATTAATATTATATTAATGATATTGACGTGCTGAGTTCAAATGACAGCCGAAGTCTTTGCATTCACAGAAACACCATTGGAAAAAAAATAAGGATCAATCTAGTCTAGCACCGCCCCCACAAACCAGGTAAGGATTAATAGCATAGCAGATTGCGGTCTCAAGGTTTGATTCGCTATCAATCTAAGATAAAGAAAATCCTGAATTCAGAACTACGTACGAAGCAATTTCACTCACAAAAGTGATACTTGTTACGTAAAACACCGCAACGATACTTAGTTTGTAAAGCTGTGATCCTGTGTTCTGGAATGGTCTACAGATTTTACGATATAAAATAATTTGCAAAATGTTGCATCAAATTGGTTTAAAAATAGTTAAATGAAAAGTTCGACGGCATAATGCAATAAAGCAATAGGAATAATGCAGCGATGGTTCTGCAAAATGATTTGGAATTTTAAAAAAAGCACCCTATCACCAGTTACAACAACAAGACAAATAAACGCAAACAAATCGCATAATCCCTATCTGTAAACCGATTTTGTTAATTAAGATATACGTTACTGTTGGTCTTTGTGATTGGTTCAGATTTTGCATGTAACTGTTTCTCATAAACTGACAGTGAAACTGAAAGCAAAAGATTATAAATCGTTGTTCAATACATTCATACCTTTCACATAAGAATTTTCTGACGTTCAACACCAGGAAGGAGAGATAATGAACTTCCAAAACGTCTCACAGTCATCTAATTGATTCAAACGTTTCTCTGGTCCAGATCGTATCATTAATGTTATATCATTAATTACCTGCTCACAATAAACATCTGTCGCTATCGCTGGAGTTGCAGTCAGTATCCACAAATCCCCAATACCTTGTCACTAAAATACCAAATTTCAATACCGTTGTTGTTTTAAAAGTCTCAAATTTTAATCAGATGTTTCATAAATATAAACTTTGTATTAATAAAATCTAATATTTTGGAGGATAGCCAATAGTGATACACACACTATTCTAAACGATGTTTTATCCATTTTTATTTCCTCCCCACATCAGAATCGTTTTCATTTTCGATTAAAAAAAAAACAAAAAAACAAAAAAAAACGCTTATTACAAAGTAATTAACGCTGTGTCAAATATGGAGGCTGCATTCACAACTTTAAGTTGGTTGTCGTTTAAATCCTTAATAGCTAAATTTTCAACCTTTTTATTACTCCAATCTCAATTAGTAGGAATACGTGAACATTCTCAATACTCCAGGTGGTATGGACGCGAACTCACTATTCTATAATTTTTGAGGGTTCAAGGGTAGCACTTTGTCTTTAGAAATAAATGTTAAATACACTGCCTGACGCTTAAATTATGAGCGTCGTTGAGTTAAGTATGAATGGAACAGCATTTGAATGTATTTTTTGCGTGTGAGTGAAAGATAAACAGAGAGAGAAAATATAAATGAAAACGAGACGCGACAGATGATCGAAATAACGTCTTTCTTTAAGAGACCAGGGCATGAATGGAGCAGACGTTAAAGAAGAATCAGAGAAGAAGAGAACGTCATGAAGCATGCGCAGTGAAGATGAATCAAAAGAAATATGGCAGCAGGCAAGAAAAAATGCGAAACGATGAAGCGTGACGTAAGTACCCTCGAAACGAAAAGGAGAATGGAATGAAGGAGAAATGAATGATCGTCTTTGAGAATGCAAAAGCGATAAATTGTAGGGGAAATCGCTAAGAAGGAAGTTGATTTGAAGTTGAAGGTAACAGGAGGAGACAGGTCGGGAGAGAAACACGTAAATAGATGGGATTACCCAAAAAATGAATGGGGAAAACGGGAGGATTAGAAACGTGTGAGGGAAGTTATATCGTGGAAAGAGTGATGCATAAAAGAGTGTTAAATTAAGAAAGGCGAAGACTTCATAATAAAAACGATAAGATATAAAAAGAAAACATCACAATCATATTGACTGGCATAAATTTTATTGATTAGACGGGGAGAAAATTGAAAACACTTGTTCCATCATACCTGACATTGTAATAAAGAAAAATGCTGATAAGGAAATAAAAAAAAAATCACCTGCTTAAACGCACTTCCCTATATTATTATATATTGATAGATTCCTCTCATGATCGTATCTTTTGATAGGATAGAAAGAAATAGCTGAAATATTTTGGACACATAATGAGCATGAAAATCTTGAAGAATTTAACAATCACAAGGCATGTAAAATTCGAAAAGACTTCATGACAAATTTGAGCAAACGGATAGAGGAAAAATAGCAGACTTTGAAAGAACTGAATAAAGGAAGCTGGAGAGAACTATGTTCGCTCAAGCATGAAGGGACGTATTAAAAGAGATATAGAAACAGATAGATCGATAGATAGATAGATAGATAGATAGATAGATAGATAGATAGATAGATAGATAAGGAGAGAATGAAAACGCTCTGCATTTAATACCTCATATAAACAGTTAAACCGACTCCAAATTGGTTACTTCCTCGATCACTACTATCGTAACCAGTTCAAGTCTATGGTTAGCCGTTATCTTCTATATATATCCGTATCAGCTGTGCCGATGTAGCCATCTTGTGCGGTACGTATACAGCATGAACACCACTGTAAAAAAAATGATGGGTTAATTTCGAAAATAATTAACTTTGCTTAAATTTAGAACATTTAAATCTAAAATCTTTATTTATTATGCATATATTACCTAGTTCTTCAAGTTTATTTTTTAAAATACTATCTTCTTTTAGAACTTAAGATCTCCTTACATTTTCTTTTTACGATATCTCGTGAAATATAATAGAAATTTTCCGTTAACTTCGCCTTGGTTTTAAATTCAGAATAGTCTTTCCCATAAAATGCTTGCTGCACAAGGCTAGATAACCTAGTTTATGTCGTCAACTTTTTCTTTATTCCTTTAAGTGCCGTATCTCTTCAGGACGTAGACGTTCAGGGTCCTCCACATCCTCCGCTTCCTTGTAGCTCTTAATATGTTTTGTATGTTTGTTGCTCTGTCATCTATTTGCTCAAGTTCATTAAATATGCCACGCGTTACATTCTCCTGGCCCTCTTTCCCTCCACTCGTCCTGTGCCTATCAGAATTTCTAAGCCCTCTTTCCTCATTGCGTGGCCCAGAAATTTCAACTACCTCTTCTTGATGTTAAGTATAAGATTCCTATTTGTTTTAATTCTCGTCAAAATCTCGTTGTTGCTCACATGTTCGGCCCATGTTATCCTTGATATCCTTCCATGTTATCCTTGATAAACCTACACAAGGAACGGTAATTTAGATTTCCTTCTAATGTAGATAAATTAAAAGAGTAAAGACAAATAACGCAAGTTGGAATCCCATCTACGTCAATGGATATTTTTCAATGCTTTCTCCTTTCTGGTTGTTCCAATCTGATAATGAGATTTTGTTATTATTTGAAGAGAGTAAACTAATGTTTTCTGAGAGCAGCGAGGACAAAACAATTAAATACTGAAGTTTTTAGATGCTATGGAATCTAGATATGAAGCTTTGGAAATGAGAATAAAAATGAACCTTCAGTCGTCAGGAATAAATCAAAGGGTTAATTAGAGAATAGAGCACACTGACACACGATTCCCCTCTCTCTCTCGATATATATATATATATATATATATATATATATATATATATATATATATATATATATGTGTGTGTGTGTGTGTGTGTGTGTGTGTGTATTAAATAATGCGGATTAATTAATATTGTAAAGAATAGGCATTCAAAGAATAAATCAATAAAGTTAATGTAATTAATGGCGGATTTTGTTAATGTTAATCTACGCCCAGGCTTTTTTCTTATTTCACCTATTTTAAAAGAATTCCTACTCTCCCAAGCAAACGTACACAAAAGTATCAAAGAAATCAAAAGAAAATGGTTGAATCCGTCAACGCAAGAATAAAAACAATATCTCCACACGTGACAGTAATTGACGTAATTTTCAGTTAACAGTAGGAAATAGCTTTCTCTAAATTCTTCCAGTTGTTAAGGATATTTTGTTTTGTTATTATTAGTTACTTTGTTAAATAAATTCATTTCGTTTTTGCGTTGTGAGAGATAATGGGGCTTAACTTAAGGTATGGAGCCATCTATATCAGGCCCAAGAGGCTTACCCAAAAATAAGGATGACTCCAGATTTAAAAAAGATGAAGACATTTTTGTTCTGGGAGAGTCCTTGTGCTACTTCATCCCTCCTTATATAGGGCAGTTAAATTAATTTACCCCAAGGATGTCGATGGTATTGTCTTGGATGGTCGGATGACGACGGAGTTAGGAACAGGGAGCCTGGGACAATCCGTCGGGATCCTTACATCTGCAGATTTCCGCCCTGTATGTGAGTAGGTTTTTAGCTCTTTTTTAATTTTTTGCAGGCCTAGAAGATGTCTATCAAGATAACTACGTTGAATGTGAAGGGCTTGAGGGATCGGAGTAAGGCAGCCCGCCTTCTCCGGGATCTCTTGTCCTTTGGCGTGGATGTCGCCGCGATCGAAGAGACACACTTTGTTTGCAGTGTCGATGCTGGAGAACGACTTTGTCGTTTATTCAGCATATGGGGACCGACATGCTAGAAGAGTTTCTTTGCTGGTGAAGCGGACTCTTGATGCGAAGGTGGACCTTGTGCATACCGATGCCGAGGGCCGGTTGATCGTGGCCGATATTGCCGTGAAAAGTGGATCGTTCCTAGTCGTTGCGGTTTATGCGCCCAATGACCAGGAGGAGCGGGTCTCGTTTTTTCGGCGGTTAGAGCCTTTCCTGGCGGATTCAACGCGCTTAGTTCTAATGGGGGACTGGAATGCCATCCTGGATCCCAAGTTAGATCGGGGCGGGGTGCTAGCGGGTGAAGGGGCTATCTGATAAGCGATTTTGGTCTCGTTGATAGATACCGGATCGATCACCCGGGGGAGGGGGGTAAATGAGGACGTGGGCTCTTAGCTGGTCTTGTGACAAGGTGGTTAGCTACGTTGACAGAATGTTAGTTAAAAGAGCCAACATAGATCTGTTAGATTGTCCCACATTCCACTGGGTAGGCTATACGGGCCACAAACTCGTTTGTGCCCGCATGGCGTTAGATCATAGGCCTAGAATGGCTAGTTACTGGAAGTTCAATCTGTCTTTACTGGACAGGTGGGACTTCCAGGAGCAGCTAACTAGCTTAGTGCAGCGCGAGCTAGTTGGGGCGGTTATCGGGAATAGGTGGTGGGACAGACTTGAAAGTAGAATTAGGTCCTTCACCACTGATTTCAGCAAACGGCTCGCCCTAGATAGAGCTGATAAGGCGAGAACGCTTAGAGCTAGTCTTTACCGGGCGGGGTCCCCTAGAGATAGCCTTAGCTGACGAGGCCGTGGAGCGTTCGAATAGCAAGCGCTACATAGGCCAGGTAATTAGACATAGGTTAAGCAAGATGTTTTCCAAAGCTGTGAACATGGGCGCTGCTCTGCGCAAGGAAGAGATTCGTCGAGGTGGCGATCGTTACATTTGTGAAGTCAAAAGGGTGAGGGGCATACTCTTTGGGCCACTGACGACATGTGCGAGGCGTTTCGGTGGCATTTTTTTCTTTTCGCTTTACCAAGGAGCCTGGTCTTCGTGAGGACGAGTTTCGCAGCTATTTGGCTGAATTTCCTCGGCTTTCGCCGACTGAAGCGGCTAGCTGAGTTGGAAAGATCACGGAGGGCGAGGTCTACGCGACATTGAAGAAGGTCAACAGAGGCAAGTCGCCCGGACTGGATGGTTTGCCCTATGAATTTTACTTGAGGATGACGCACATCTTCCTTGTCCCGATTTTGACTGAAGCGTTCAACAACTGGTTCCGGCAGGGGTCCCTCCCCGACCGGTTCTCCTGGGGTGTGATCACGCTCTTGAAAAAGGGCAAGGGTGTTGGGGGAAAACTAGATGATTACAGGTCCATAACTCTGCTAAACAAAGAGTTAAAGATTTTGGCCAAGATCCTGCAGGAGCGTTTGCAGTCAGTTGCTGAGTCTCTGTTGGGTCCGGAGCAAACTTGTTCTGTGAAGGGCCGAACAATTCAGAGCAACCTGCATATGATCCGCACGAGCATAGAAGGTGTAAAAGACGACAATAAGGCCACGCTGATCAATTTAGATCAGTTCAGGGCATTTGATAGGGTTGACCATCGCTACATTGCGGCTGTCCTGCAGGCCACCAGATTCGCACCCGACTTCTGCCGCTGGATTGGCCACCTGTATCGCTCCCCCAGTGCTGTGGTGCAGGTGAACGGGAAGCTGTCAGGCGCTTTTGCGCTGTCTAGATCGGTTCGTCAGGGTTGTCCACTGTCGCCCATACTTTATGCGTTGGCGTTTGAGCTTCTCCTTCGCCGGCTAGGGACAGGGCGTGCAGTCCGGCCCTACGCGGAATCGCCGTTCCTGGAGGGGCTCGAGCCGATGGCGTATCTGTTTTCCTGTCGTCCCGCAGCGCCATTGAGGTGGTACTGAAGGCGCTTGATCGGTACGAAAAGTGACAGGGGCCAAGATTAACCGCGACAAGTCGTCCGGCTTGCGGTTAGGTGCCTGGAAGGGGTTCGATATTCCGGGGCCTTTCGGTTGGACGGACGGTCCTGTACGCCTTCATATGGGGCTTGGCGGATTTGCCAGACTGTCAACGGTGTGACCTTGGTTTAGAGTAAACGGCTTCGCACGCCTTCTACCATTGTCCCCGGGTCCGCTCCTTATGGGACCATGTCGGCGAGCTGACGGCTACTCTCGCTACCGAAAAGCTCATGCCCATTGATCACGCATGCGCGTGTGACAAAATGTCGCCTCCGAATTCCGGGGTGAAATGGATGGTGTTTCTGACGCTGCTGGCCACGGCCCGAATGGTTATTTGGACGTCGCGACAGGAAGTCTTGCGGGGCATCTGTCTTTCTCATCAGGATCTGATCCGATTCTTTGAGCATCAGCTGAAGATGAAGATTAGAACTGATAGAAAATGATTGAATTCGACAGTCTTCAGTGAAAGGTGGTTGACTGAGGTTCGGTTGAACGGGGCTAGCCTTGATTTTCTCTTTTAGGTTACATCGGGGGTTTTCCTGTGGAGCCCTCCCCCTGGTTAGGTTAGACAAGCTTTTGTGTACCTAGTTAATGTGAGTAAATGTTCCTAGCCTGTTCCCGGCTACATCTTTTGTTATGATCCAAGTTGAGATTCCAAACCTCCCCAGTTTGTTTTGACCCCTTATTTTTCCTCGACTGTGTCAGGTTTTTCTTTCCCATGTCCATATATATTTTCTCCTTTTCCCACTCCCTTAGAGCGAGAGCTTCTTAATTTTGTCCAAATGGGAAAAATACAGCGGCCTCTCATTTTGAGGGTTGGACGAGCCCTACTAACATCAGTTATCTTCAGTTTATTTTGTGTTTATATTTAGTTTATTTTGGGGTTCATTCGCACACCTCTCATTTTTCGTC